CATTTAAGTAAAGCCTCATTATTATGTCATAACAAATGAATACATTCAGTTGTTTGTCACATAAGTAACTAATATTATTTTCTTAGCTGTGTGATAAGGAGGCAGCTGTAACATCAGAGTAAAGAAGTAAAGACTTTGAATACAGTGTCGTTCATTTTCGACCCCCCAAAAAAGCAGCAAATAAGGACCCGAGCTGCAGCTGAGTGCCTGGTCAATTGTTTGCTACAATGTAGCTTCTAGTGTTAATGGAAAAGTACAATCTGCACGTATTCACAGACTCTGAAGGACGCAAATGAGTCCACCCGGCAGGACTTCCAGCGGGAGGCGGAGCTGCTGACGGTGCTCCAACACCAGCACATTGTGCGGTTCTACGGCGTCTGTACCGACGGAGAGCCGCTGGCCATGGTGTTTGAATACATGAGGCACGGAGACCTGAACCGCTTTCTTCGGTATGTAACAGTACAAGCTCCACATCAGATGCCTGCTGAACAAAATGCTGATCCTTTCTGCGATCGTAAAGTGTGCTGTAGATTTTCCCAACAAATATTAGCCTTTGAATATGTCCCTCGTCTGTGTGGCTCAGAAAAAGTACTGGATGAAAGGCAGCAGAGGCGGCGACAAAAGAAGTTATTACAAACACTTCATTGCCTTTTTTCACAGCGGACTCCTCAGAAGCCCCGAAAATCTCAGTAAGAAAGTGTCTCAGCGAGCCATCAAAGTGTGACAGTGTTACAGCATGCAACGCAAACGGAAGCAGATAAATATGATTTAGTCATCACTAAAGCTAAGATGAATAGCTGATTAATCAATTATTTGATTAAATAAATGTTTTATCCTGGATTAATTGCTGCCATTTACAAGCTGAAGTATTTTTAAAGAGGAAGTGCTAAAAGAAAAACTGTTTCTGGCTGCGACATGTGAATGTTTGCTGATTTGTTCGGCTGATTTACTGCATTTGGAAAGTTTGTAGGTTTGTTTCAGACTCATTTGATGCTTGATTCAGCTTTTAGAATTATTTCATCTAAACTTCATAAAAGACTAAGAGAGTACTCATACCCTCCCATTAGTACTTGGATAAAGCAGTTTGTCATTGAATTTATCAGGAGATCAGATTTGCCCTTGTGCAGGAATAATCGTTGAGGTGAATAGTATGAAATATTGATACATTTATTTGTTTTTTCACTAATTTCACTTGATATCAAAGAGAACTCTACTCCCCCAGAGTTTCATAAGCTCTCTCACATTGTCTCTCCAGATAAGGAAAGACTTTATGTGTACACACTGTGTGCACTGTGCTGATGCTGCACATCATAGAGCCAAAACACCCAGAAATGTTAGCAGGCAGAGGTCATCACTGTCCCAACGGTTTCACTGGGACTAGTTTTTTATTTTCAGGCCTTCACATATATTGAGAGCCTTCTTTGAACAATTCTACAAATTTGGCACAATGTTTTGGGGGTTCCTTCTTTCCTTTTTGGGAGAATTGTCCAAGCTTTGGCAGGCAGCTCAGTGAGGTTTTGAGCAGAGATGCACAAGATGCTTCCGGCACACAAAACCACTTCTGTGTTTTTCTGACTGCTTTGGGGAAATGTAAATCTTCCCCTCAGCCTGAGAGTTTTCATTCGAGATTATTCTCTGTTTTTCCATCTTTACCTTTATCTTGTGTGGGCTGAATACTTATATTATCCTGGTCTTGTTGCAGACAGAAACACTGTTAAGCTGCTTTCACTGTTTGACTGTAGGGATAGTGTTATTGAGCTCAGCTTTTGGCTTCCTCCGCATGTGCTGATGGGAAATATGGCCAAGTGGTTCAGTCTTTGTTTGATCAGACCGGAGGACTTGTTTTTTTGTGGTCTGGAAGTCTTTTAGGTGCCTTTTAGGAAACTCCCAGCAGACTGTCAATTGTCTTTTAGCGAGGAAGGGCTTCCGTATGGCCATCTCTACCATAAAGCGGGGAGTAGAGGAGTGCTGCACTCTGGCTCATCCCATCTCCAAAAAGAGAAGCGTCCTCCAAACTTCCTCCGTTTGAGAATTACTTAAGGAGTATCCTGTTTTTTGGGGGGCTGCAGTTTAAAACCTTACAGCATCTGTTCTTTTCCTAATTATGCCCATTAAATTCAGTCAGGCACAGGTGGAGGAAAGTTGTGCAGGAAGCATCACACTCAGTTTTGAGCATCATAACAAAACGTCTGAATATTTCTCTAAATGCTGTGTTTGAGTCCAAAGTAGTAACACTGACTTTCACCTGGCGCTGCCTGTTATGGTCACGTGGAGACTCACAAGAAAGAAATGAACTTTATAATTTTCAGGATATAAAAAATGTGGAAAAGTTCAAATGTTCTGAAGAACGTTTGTTAATATACTACTACTGAATATCCTAGTTTTAAATATTTCAGTCTGGACGTCAGGTGTGAACATTTTTCATTACCTGCTTTTTAAGACCAAAGAATTAAAAACTGTGTTTCCCATTGTCTCAACCTTCACTTCCCCCCCTGCTGGTTATATCCATTAAGCCCCTGCAGGTCAGAACCACCTGGTTTATACGCGCTCTGCAAACATTTCATATTTTTTAAACTATAAATGTAGTTAAAAGCTATTTAAACCTGTTTATTAATTTAATGCAGAGTCTTTGTTAGCAGTTAGACGTATTTTACATCACGTAACTGTTTTACAGTGTTGTCATATGTTATATTACCAACCTCCACTTACACAAGTACCAACACTTGAATCTGTTTACAACAACATCATAATATGTAATTTGTTAAACGATCATGTACTGCTTTTAGATGTGCTTCAGATGTTGAAAGTGGGACTCGCTCACACTGATAAATGACTGCAGCTCTTTAAAAGCTGCCATCTGTGAGCTGCACTGCTTTTATCACTCAAACTCGATGTGTGTTTAAAAGTTAAACCCACTCAGCTGACCTCAGTGCAGCATGTGCGGCTCCGCCGGTCACTCAGCGTATCGGTGGATTTTGTGTGTTTAATGCCACAAGGAGTCACGAGGACAGCCGTGGAAGTGTTTGTGCTCGACTTCACAGACTATTATATTTGATATTTTTGAGGCGGCTGCGTTTCCTCCCTCTCCACACTGTAAGGTTTCCGAGGTCCTGTTTGAACGGTGTTTAGATGATTTGGAGACCCAGAAATAGCCGGGGTGATTTTAAAGCTCTCTGAAATTTGGCATGTGTTTCTTTTCAAGTCAAGCATTTCACATGAATCACCAGCTCGCCTTTAACATCATCTATTAATTATTTTACATAATAATTTCTCTTCCATTCCCTTCCTCTTACGATTCTGTGAACCTAAGGTGTCGGTAAATGTATGGACCAGTTTGCTGAATTTGAAACCGGAAGAAATTCATTTCATTCTGGTGTTGAAACTCACCAACACTGGAGACCATCTGCTCTAAGAAAAACTAAACAAACTCTATTCACATATTAAAACACTCCAACCAAACCAGCTGACAAACAACAAGAACCAGATATTATACCAAAAGCATTTTAGTCTGTTAATTTCCATCTTGTTTTCATTTCATTAGATATAAAAGGTGCTTTGTATTCTTTCTCATAATTTTCTTTGTCAGCAAGCTAAAACCTTCACCTGTATGTCATTCACTAGAGGTGGGAATCACCATACATCCCACGATACGATATTATTGCAATTTTTAAAAATATTTTGCGATATTCAGATTCTGTACATAAAGGTAAACTTTATCAATATTCATTTGATCTAATATCAAAGTCTCACACTCAGTCTTTCTCTCATTTCAGTTTTATTGTTGACAAACTGAACGGTTTGTATTACAGTCTAGTCCAACTTAACTGAATCAACCATCTGGTACAATTATAGCTATTCTGAACTATGCAGTTTATGAAAACTATGCAGCCCCTTCAGCAACTGAAGAATTTGAAAGTAAATTAAAACAAAATATAATTTTACATTAAATAAAAAAGTTTTCAACTTAATTAAAATAAAACATGTCTTAAATTAAAATAAGTAAACTGTCATGTTTATTAAACACATTTGGACAGTGAAGGAATGTCAGGATTCTTGCTCAGAAAAAGGATCAACATGCTCTGAAGTCAGAGCACAAAAACCTTTTTTGTAACAAAATATCGATTTCTGCTGTCCCTGTATCGATACATTATTAGCAAACAAAATATCACCATACTACACAGTATCGATTTTTTTCCCCACCCCTATCATTCACGCAGTTAACAGTTGGCACTGTGAGGAGGAAGCTAGAGACTTGTAAGCTGGTGTGCATCTCCTTAGTCACACATATAAACGTTGTTTGAGAGGTTTGTGAAGCTAAATATGTCCACACATCCAGCAGGGATGCCTGGGAGGTGAGGATGGGGTGAATAAAGGGAATGGCCTAATTTTGTAGTCCTGAAATAACATTTTAGCCACATTATTGTTTAGATGCGTACCGCTGAAAACGCCTCCACTGCTTTGCTAGATAACGATTGGTGTTTTATTTATTTATTTATTTACATTTAGGGACAAAACTCGTCAATAAACATTTCTGTAAATGCACCAGAGTTAGCCATGGGCTAGTTTTCATCTGTAGTCCCCAACTAGATCTTAAAAACAACCTAAAGACAAAACAATATATTACATCAACATTATAGAAACAAATAAAAGTTAGAAAGAAGAAAAAAACATAACAGAAAACTCAGCAAGGTGGAAACAGGAGAATCAAACCAAATCAATGCTGATAAAACTGATGTTTGAAAATTTGTATTCTGCTCTCTGATGTTGATGCGTACAGTGTTTCACAGCCTTTACAGAAGATGCAGACCGACCAAAAGAACTGAAAGCAATAATACACTCCTGTCTGGTCAGGCTCCTTGTAATTTGGTTTCTGTTTACCTCAGTGGCAGGAAACTGACTAAATTAGCTCAGTACTTTTAGCCTGTTTGCCTCTTCCATTCAAATCCTGCATGTGCAGCTTGGTATAGGATCCAAAAATGTCTGCATAAAAGAGGAATGTAGCAAAGATTTCAGCTTTATCAGCAAAAGAAAAAAAAATAGTATGACTTATTTGAACGAGGATAGCTGCCTAATTAATGCTACGTAACACAGAAAATACAGTACTCGAGTTTAACTCACCAAAACAAGAGCAAAGACTTCATGGATGGTCTGTTAATAGAATTAACCACAAAGTGAGCAAACTTATGTGTGATCATTGCATTTAAAATTCCCCCGAAAAGCACCAACGTCACACATGACTAAGGTTACATTCACACTGCAGGCGAAAGCGCATCAAATCCGATTTTTTTGACCCTATGCGACCCATATTCCAATCATGGTATGACAGTGTGAACGGCACAAATCCGATATTTTCAAATCCGATCTGGGTCACTTTCGTATGTGGTACTGAATCCGATACATTCCCAATGTTTCAGAAAGCGACTGCTGTTTGATGGTCATGTCGCATTAAATCCGTCTTTTACGTCACTGACACAAGACAGACGCCAATCATCAGCGCCGAAGCAGTGCCCGATAAGACATCCCGAACGCTTCCTGGCCATCCGGTGAAACTGTTGGGAAGACAACGTTGGAGAAACGTGAACATTTTATTTGTACTGTATAATCTGCAGATTCTGACAGAAATCTGCAACTATCCTTTGAAGCAGCGCTCCTCTAAAACAGCAATAAGGATCATTATTAGGTTATTTACATTATTATGTAAATAACAAAATAACTTAAAGCAAAAATTGGGAAACGGCCATCTGTCAAACAATACTGTTTGCTCTGGGTCTAAACAGAGCGCGTTGTGTGTGACATCTTCTTTTGCGCATGCGGCCGCTTTGAGCATTCACACTAGAGCGCGTTTGCTGTCGCATTTTATTTGTAGTGTGAACGAGCAGACAAAAAAATCGGATTTGATCAAAAAATTGGAATTGAGCATTAAGACCTGCAGTGTTAACGTAGCCTAAGAGGACGTGACAAGTGTCCATCAGAGGAACTGCAGTTTCTCTGCTGCTCTGGTGCCTTCATTTCTTCACGCACAGATGTTGCTGCATGGTTGGATTTTTACCAGCTGGAACAATAATGTGAAAAAACCTCTGTTTTTTATCAAATGTGATGTAAAAACAATGGAGAGCAGGATGATTCATTTGAGTGACTGCTGACAAGAAAATAATTGTTACTGTGTGCGTGACGGGTGGTGGATTGTGAGTGTTGTGGAAGAAGAAATGTCTTCTGATTAAAATTGCATACTGTACATAAAACACTGTGTATATAAACCATTCCCAGGGCCTTTAGGTGAGCCACTGGTGCCTTACAAGTGATAGCAACCCACCAGTAAAAACAGCATTGTAAATTTACAGTATGGATAAAGAGATGCAAATTATTACCCAGGGAGAAAAAGAGTGACCCACAGATGAGGGAAAAACACAGACATACAAGAACTCAAGCCAAACATTCTTACCATCACAAGAAAAGTAACCAAAGACACTGAAGGAGAGACAAAGAGAGAGAAACGTAAGAGCTGAATCTCCTGGATGACTCACAACATGTCAAGGCACGGGTCAGTTTTTATTATTTATAAGAAGTCCTCACATCAATAATCTCAAATGAGAGTGAATTTCAACTATCCAAGTGTTTTAGCACTTGGATAGAAATAGACAAGATTCCTTGAACTGTGCAATGAACTGATTTTTTTTATCTGGAGAAGGGGTTATGTGGCAAATTAGGTAATGATGACACTTGAATTGTTGCATAACATGGTGACAGAAGAGCTTCAAAATCTGTTTTTCAATCGTTTAAAAAACCTTTGAAAACCTCTGGGGGGAGCTGAAGGAGAAGGGTCAGTGCTGAAGAGCGCTCACTTGGCACCTGGGCAACCATCTGACGCTGCGATTAGAGCAGACGGCGCTGATGCTGTCTGCCAGGTGTCCTCCACAGGAGGCAGATTGGAAATGAAAACACACAGAGAGGCGCGCGGACAGACTTTTCCTGAGATATATGTTCGCGAAGGGATGGAAATCGCATTTTCAGCAGACAGCATGGGTGAGATGTGCGAGAGACCCCACAATGCAGCTGCTTTCCCACCCTGCCACCTGCCTTTTAAACTAATAGTGATTGTATAGACAACTTCCTTTGTAAGGAGGGGACAAAGTGGAGAGGAGAGATATTAGGATGGATGGAGACACATCAGCTGTGATTTGCTCATTTAGGCAGGAGTTGGACGTGAGAGTGGGTGTTTATGGTCCACGAAAACCATGAAGAGTTAATGCACTCTGCATCTCTGAATTGCATTATTGCAAATCAATTGTAGGCGTATTATAAGCCTTGTGTTTTTGATTAAGCATCGCTGTTAAATGGCTTTATTATGGCGTGGTCGTGCTCACCATGTCTGGGGAGTTCTAGAGAGCTCGTATATGTCGCAAATGTTCAATCTGCAGATTGCGTGCTGAGGTCATCGTCCTTCAGGTCACCCAAGGTTGGTGCCATAGTTACAGCAAAAAAATACAAAAGCCTGAATTGCTCATTCAAGTGTTTGATAACCTGCACAGCCAACAGCAACAGAGAAGAATAGCAACAGCATGTCGAGTTCATTCAGTTTACGGTCCACAGTGGTCAGAAGTTCCCATCGAATGCAGAAAAAGTGAATTTAATAAAGTATTCATTTCAAGAGAAATAGGTCATCAAATAGTTAATGAGCAGAAATTACTATAAACAAGGAGGAGTCTCATTAGGGTGTCTCATTTGCAGCATTTACGTGACAGTAAAGCACAGATTTACTGCTGAAACAGATCAAATGCAGAGAATAAATTTGCATTTTTCACTTCATGTAAATATTATTATCCTGCTTACTTCAATATAAAGTCTTTTGTAGACTAGATAACCTTCAAACAAGTTGGGTCATCCTGTGCCTGTGCTGCTTGACAACATTAGTCAGTTTTGTTTTTTAAAAATATGACTTTCCTCTGTTGTTCTCTTAGTCTGGAAAATAACGAAATACACTTTTTATTTGAAAATACCCAAGTTGTGTAAATCCACTTCATACTCTTGTCTCTACTTTCCCCTCTACTTTGACAGCAGTAACTACTTTTCAGATTCAGATTTGACATTAAAGACTCAGAATACACTTTTAAAACTGTGCAGCACATTGTTAAAGATTATATCAGTGCCCCCCAACCTATTTCCGTGTGACCTTCTGCAAAGAGTAGTGCTTTTCAGATGTGCACTCCTTTCCTCTCTAAACTTCTCAGAATCTTTTATATAAGTAAGAGAAAAGTCCACACGGTGAATGCAGAGCTTTGTGTTTCCTTGGAACCGATGGCATTCATCGTCTCACGACTGCTCAGCCTCATTCTGTGACTGTTTTGAAAAGCACTCAAACCCACCCCCAATATCTTAGAACTTAATTATTTGTGTACTAAGAAGCTGAATCCACCTCTGTCTCATCCAGCTACAATAAACTGCTGCTTATACACTTGTATCGACGTTCTAATAATGCCACATAAATCAGTGTAACACAGACCAAAACATTAGGTATACTGTGCCTCTAACTCTTTTGAGTAGATTTTGAAACTGTGGTATTTTTACTTTCACCTTGCGATCTTCCTACATTTTGATGGAGCTAAAATATTAAAATAAATTCAGACCAACAGATGTGGATTAAAGCAGCTGTGTGTCCTTTTTGTGCCCCCTGTAGAGCTCACGGCCCTGACGCTCACATCCTGGACGAGTCCAAGATGCCCCCGCTGGGTGAGCTCACTCTGCCTCAGATGCTGCACATTGCTGCTCAGATTGCCTCAGGCATGGTCTACCTCGCATCGCTGCACTTCGTTCACCGTGACCTGGCAACTCGCAACTGTCTGGTTGGAGAGGGTCTGGTGGTCAAAATCGGAGACTTCGGCATGTCCAGAGACATCTACAGCACAGATTACTATCGGGTAAACGGCTGAAACATAAAAGGAATACTACTGTTATTCTTAATGGGACTGTAAATTTAAACAAGACAGAAATATTACTCCTTTACTTCACTACTACCTTGCCATTTGTTTCTGTTTTATCTGCTCTGACGTATTTGTTTGACACTGTTTGACGCCGATCTAATACATTTCTTTCCAACAGGAAGTTTGAAGTATGTAAACCGTATGATGAATACATGCAATCAAACTGCAATTACTCCATTGTTTCCAGGCTAATCTCTCTTTGTTGCAGTCTGGGTCACAACAGGAGGACACATCATGCAAATAATATTCTGGTTCCACAAGTGAAACCAGATTTTTACTTCTTTAGAATCCCAGACATTTCATTTGATACATTTTACATGATGCATAATTCATCTGTGTTTTTGGGGGTCTTTTTTCTCGTACATACCCCCACAAACCTGCATGTGTTAGGCTGTAGTTCTGTTAGCTGGTTAGCAGGAACTGGAAGTTCCAGTGTGGAAGTTCATTAATGCTACATTCTTCAATGGCCAGCGGATTTGAGAGAAGTTAAACTGTAAAGAAGTCTGTGAGAAAGTGACACTATTTCTCACGTTGTGGCCTTAGTGAACATTTTTCTGATATCTTTATTTATTATGTTGCCATTTTCAGCCATTAATGAATATAAGGATATTAATTTTGTAGATGATGGTCACCATTAAAGTGAAAAATGACAATAAACAATGGCATCAAGAGTGATTTACAAAAGCTTCGATGGTGATGAGCAAATGTTCAGCTTGAACTGTTAGAAACAGGACTTGACTTGAAACAATGGGCGCCATCATGGCCATCATTTATATACAGCCAAAAGATATTCTTATATTCTTCCAGCCAAAAGTTTAACCTCCTAAGACCCGAACTCTTCCACGGCATGCATTTTTAATTTCTCTTTGATATTTGGGCCCAATGAATGTAAAAACAAAGAATTACCAGATTTTTTTTTTACCTTATTTTGTTTTTATGAAAAATCAGAGCCACATATGAGGATATTAGTTTAAAATTTTGATAGTAGCAGTATAACGTCCTCGTAAGTAGATATCAGGCCCTTGTAGAGCAAAATTGTGTGTTTTGGTCTAAATAACCCAAAATGTGATGTCCATATATGTGGACGCCAGGTCCTAGGAGGTTAAAGATGCAAAACCCTTGTTGTCACTCTGAGTATTTGACTATAATCTTGTGAAAGTGAGTGTGAAAAGCTCTAATTCAGTATATGAAACAATAAAAATAATAGTTAGATATATTTTTAAAAACCCAACTGAAGACTGCTGTTATCCTACTGCTGTGTGAATGTATTTGTGGTGCTTGCTTTTTAGAAAATATTCTGCATAATTCAAGTGATTCAAGGGATTTTGGAATATGTATAGGACCTGCTTTACAAAGAAGCAGTAGTTTACACATTCACCTAACAAAGCAGATAAAAGATCTGAAGGTGTGAAACACTTAAGACCTTATAAACAAATCGAGGTGCGCGGTTCCTTTATCACATGTAACACACAGCAGGGGTTCTGATCTGCTCTCGGTACTGGAAATACTTAATCTGGAAACAGTGCAACCACTCACGAGCTGTGAATTCCCAATCTGACATCACACAGACAAGTGAGGCTGCAGGTTAAAGACTGTTTCTTTTCTGTCTTGTGTTTCTCTGAAAAGTAGTGCATGTGTAAACACAGCTGTGCTGTTTTATTTGACTTTTATTATCCTCATTTTCATCTTCATACATTTATCCTTGGGTCTGTTAAAGCAGCTTAACACAATTCAGAGTTCAAAATAATCCTTTTTTATCTTATACCAGTTCGTCCACTACCTGAAAGCAACTGTTTAAGCTCGCTTGGCTGCTTCATCCAAATCAAATATTTGAGCAGGAGCAGGTAATTCGGGCTTCTGTGCTCACGGCCAGAGCTTTTTTCATGAGATGACTGCTATTTGGAACACCTGCTCTCTGCTGCATCATAACAAACCGGGAGTAGAAAAAACTGTCTGAAACTCAGAGAGGAGAATGAATAGGTATAATAAGCCCACTCCTCTTATTGAACTCAGTGTTTTGGATTTGTACTTTGAAGTATTATAGATCAAATACTAATATTGAACTTCTCCTCTAGTCTCGCAAGAAGAGATATTTCAATTTTTCTTGTGTGAGGGTGAAAACGTGATGTTGTCTAAGGAGAAAAACCATGCCCTAATCAACTATAATTCTGTTAAAAATGGGTTATTATGATTAAGCTACATAATACATTGTGGTCATATTCTGAAAAATACACTAAGATAAGAAGCACATGTGCTTTGTCTTCTCCTGAAGCGATTTAAACTGCAGGAGCAGAGTATGTCGTACATTTTGGATCTGTAAATCACAGCGTAACCTTTGAGAGACTGTGGAGTGTGTACTTTTAAAAACTACAGTCAAACCGGCTGAATAATAGCACTGGACTTTTTCATGTTGCTTCCCCTTGGTGGGATTTGAGAATTTGAAAATCGCTCAAATCTGTTACAGCAGGATTTTTTTTTTTCAGTAGTGAGAAAGGTTCATTCCTGTTTTCACGTGCCAGTGAAAGGGTTTTACTCATTAACAGCATGTTGAGATCTCATAAATGCAATAAAAATTACAAACCTAAGAGACTATCTAATATTATTTTTGTGGCGGTTAATCTCTTTTCCTTTTTTTTTATTTTGCATGAAACTACTGTAATAATTTTTAAACAGTCTGCCTATTTTTGATTTCAAGCTGGTCTCCCAGCTTGTAATAAGCAGCCCAAGATGAGTGGAAAGGAAAATCTATTTAACATTTAATCTCATCAACAAAGCTAATTAAGGTTTCCATAATTAAAGTTCACTTAGTATTCGGTTCTTTATCTTCAGGTGGGTGGACGTACAATGCTCCCGATCCGCTGGATGCCCCCTGAGAGCATCATGTACAGGAAGTTCACGACGGAGAGCGACATCTGGAGCTTTGGCGTGGTCCTCTGGGAGATCTTCACCTATGGGAAACAGCCATGGTATCAGCTGTCCAATAGCGAGGTGGGTTGCAGTGGAAAAAAACATTATAAAATTGCGTTACAAAATTTCGGTAGCCCTTTCTATTACAGCTTGGTAATAATGTGGTAATAGC